CACAAGATGTGGGGGGGGGGGTAGATATCAGTTATGGAAACAAACCTAATAAATCTCTTGTGTAGATCAGCTAGATTCAAGTCTAGTAGCATCTTGAGACCAACAAGATTTTTGGGGTATCAGCTTTTGAGAGCTGCATTTTTCAGGTCTCTTAGGTGTTACTGGACTCAAACGCAGCTGTTCTACTGCAGATAAATATGGCTACCCTCTGAAAGGCTTGCGTGGAATTATTTATTTATTTATTTATTTTATTGTATTTATACCCCGCCCTCCCCGCGAACGGGCTCACATTATACATTACACATTATAAAAGAAACCTCTGTCCAGATACCTTTCAAAGACTTCATGGGGAGACCCGTCCTACCATAAAAAGGACTGTAAAGATGCCCTGATACTGACCAAATGATCAGACAGATAATTCAGTCTTTCTGGGACAGTCATCAGCTGGCAATCTTTTCCCTCACCAGAACAGGAAGCCAGAAGAACTTTCGAAAGTTGAAATGGGCAAGGAAGTCTGTTTCTTGTGGGGACGGCAAACCTCTGGAGGCATGCCCGGAGGTCTATGTTCCCACAGGGAGATTGGGCAGTAGTGCGCAAGGTACCGGTAAATATCTGCTGAGATCACTGAGAGAAGAAACTTGGCTAGAGTCGGGTAAAGATAAGGAGGTGAGCTGTGGGCAGAGCACATCCTGTTATTCTAGTTCAGAGTCTGCTTGTAGGTTTTCAATATATAGGGCAGGGGGGAGGGAAAAGGGGAAAGTTAATAAAACGCTGCTGAGCCCAGTCCGGGTCAGACAGATTCTGCAGATCTGTGTCTCGTGTCGTTCTTGAACCCTCAAGCCTTCAGTTTCTTATACCTTGAAAGAGGAAACATTTTCACAGTGTATTTTTAAAAAGAAATACCTGAGTCTTTACTGAAATATTTGAAAACAACAACTATTGTTGTTGTTGTTGTTATTTTGATTTATATCTTGCCCTCCCTGCAGAAGCAGGCTCGGTATATATAAAACAACATTGTTTTGTATATAAAACATATGCAAAACAGTATATACAAAGCAAAAATATACAAACAACATTGTTTAGTTCTCTATCCCATCATTTTTTGGGAGGAAAGATATTGAAGGTTCCCCCAACAATTTCCCTCATTTCATTTTCTGTATTCTCATATGGGGAAATCAAGGCACCTGTAATCAAACTCCGTTTATGATGACTATACAATATATGTGATATTAAGTGAACACAGCTCAGAATTACATGAACTGATCAATTCCCATTCGGCCCAGCTTCTTCTCAATCTATGAAATAAAAGCCCAGAGATTTATTTTATTATTTATTTATAACATTTGTACCCAATGTTCTCTCTAAGCTGTGGAGTCTTGTGAGCAAAAATTCTACTTTGTGAGCTACTGGCATTAAACTTGTGAGTGAGCACTTTGGCTACTGCAGAAATTAGTTTGCTCTGGAGACATCCTTCCTGAGCCAGGACAAAAATGTGTGAGCCGGAGGCTAAAAAACTGTGAGCTAGCTCACACTAACTCAGCTTAAAGGGAACACTGTTTGTACCTCTCCTTTCTACCCTTAAAACAACCACTGAGTCAGCTAACATACATGATAAAAATCACATTATAAAAACATTAAAATCAGCCCCCTCTCCCAAACACCCATAATTAAAACAACTGAAAAACGAGAGTTAAAACACATAGAAAACAGAGTTGAACCATAAAAACATTGGTCAGGAAGGAGGGATCATTGAGGAATGCCAAATAAAACAAAAAGGATTTCTGCTGGCAGAAGATGCCAACAGGAGAGGTCGGGGGGTGTCCCTGGGAAGAGAGTTCCAGAGCTTGGGTGCCACGACCGAGAAGGCCCTCTTCTAGTTTGCCACCTGCCTAATCTCGGAACATGGGGGACTTGAAGCAGGGTCTCTGAAGATGACCACAGTAGTTGGCCCCACTGCTGGACCTCCTGATGGCACCTGGTATTTTTGGCCACTGCATGACAGAGTGTTGGACTGGATGGACCATTGGCCTGATCCAACATTGACTTCTCTTATGTTCTTATATTCTAGTTGGGAGGGTTCATAGGTCAAGACCAGCACCTTGAATTGTGTCTAGAAACAAACTGGAAGCCAGTGTAGATGGGCTAAGACTGGGGTGATATGGTCTCTATAACTCATTTTAAGGGCAAGCCCATGTAGAGCATGTTGCAGTGATCCAATATAGATCAGGAAGCAATCAGGAAGCAATTCTGGAGGGGTTTTTTGGTCATCTTCTGGGCATGGAACAGTGGTTACTGGCTGTGTGTGTGGGGGGGGGAGGTATTTGTGAATTTCCTGTATTGTGCAGGGGGTTGGACTAGATGACTCTATGATTCTATGAAGCCAGGGCAAGCACCACAGTGGGCCACATCTTTTCCACCCTGAAAATGCAGTTAAGTGTCAAACTGTCTGATTTATATTGTCCTTTGGACAGAGGAGGTGAACTGTCTGATATCTCTGTTTCTCACCTTTCATTTTTAATTCCTGTATTGTGGCTCATCCATGAGTATCTCAACTGTTAAAGTTTCTTGTGGTTAACTGTGTTAGACCATCGTGGCAGAACAAAATCCAAATCCAGTGGCAACTTGGAGACCAGCAAAATATTCCAGGATATAAACTTTCACAAGTCAAATTTATCTTTGTCAGATATATTTTGTATCTGACAAAAGTCAGTTTTGTCTCAAAAAAATTATACCCTGGGAAATGTTTTTTGTCTCTAGGAGGCTACTGGATTTGAATTTTGTGCTCACATTTTAAAAACTGCTTTCATTTTATGTCTAAAAATAGTCCATATGCTTCCATTATCTGAGAACAACTGACAACTCAAACCTGGCAAAATCTGCAGTCAAGAGCAATTGTGATCTGACTATCTGTGATTTTGCCACTCTTCTATTACCTTTGGGAGAACCAAAGAACAAGATAAGAATGTAAAAGAAGCCATGTTAGATCAGGTCAGTGGCCCATCCAGTCTGACACTCTGCATCACACAGTGGCCAAAACCCAGGTGCCATCAGGAGGTCCACCAGAGGGGGCCAAAACTCCAGAACCCCTCCCAATGTTGCCCCCCAAGCACAAAGAAGACAGCGCGTCACTGCCCCAAGACAGAATGTTCCTCTATAGCTTGTGGCTAATAACCACCTATCGGATAATATAGCTTGTGGTTAATAACCACCTATTGGACAGCAGCCATGAAATTAAAAGACACCTGCTCCTTGGGAGGAAAGCGATGGCGAACCTAAACAGCATGATAAAAAGTAGAGACATCACCCTGCCAACAAAAGTCCGCATGGTCAAAGCAATGGTATTCCCAGTAGTCATGTATGGCTGCGAGAGTTGGACTATAAGGCAGGCCGAGCGCCGAAGAATAGATTCTTTTGAACTATGGTGCTGGAGAAGACTCTTGAGAAGACTCTTGGACTGCAAGGAGATCAAATCAGTCAATCCTAAAAGAAATCAACTCTGACTGTTCCCTGGAAGGCCAGATAATGAAACTGAAGCTCAAATACTTTGGCCACCAAATAAGAAGGGAGCACTCATTGGAGAAGACCCTGATGCTGTGAAAGATTGAAGGTCAAAGAAGAAGGGGACGGCAAAGGATGAGATGGTTAGATAGTGTCATAGATGCAACGAACATTAAATTGAGCAAACTTCAGAGGACGGCGGAAGACAAGAAGGCCTGGCGTGATCTGGTCCATGGGGTCGCGAAGAGTCGGACTCGACTGTGCGACTGAATAACAAACAAATTGGATAAGAACCCTGAAATATTCCATCTGAGTTCTAGGCAGGAGACCCCGGAGGGGATCAGAATGAAGCATACAGAAACTGCTGAAGCATAAAGAAGTGCATGGACCAAAACCCAGAACTTTGAGGAAGGAACTGGTGAGGAACCGAGTATATGTGAAGCCACTGGAGATGTTTGCAAGAGAATTCAGAGCCTCAGAGATCATTCAGTCATATCCTCTGGGTGGAAAAGCACGTTGCCTGGCAAAGGAGCGGGGAGCAAAAATACCGGATTCTCCCCCACACTGCAGACCCCCCACATTGTGACCAGATCTCTTCTCGAGAGGGTATACCTGAACCCATGTGCGCAGTGTTTCAAGGTGGGCTAAAGTGGGCAGGAGTAGCAGGAAAATCCTGTTCTGCCAGCTCCACTCTCCTTCACAGTTCTTGCGAGATCCATCCGAATATATTCTGAATTAGGTAAAGAGAGGACCCCTGAAACCCACCCGCCCTGTGAGGGAACCCCATGGCTCTCACATACAATCCCAACCCACATCTAAGGCTCAGTCTGTTCTCTCCAACAGACTTCTGGATAATCCACCTTTCCTCCTCTTCCAGCCAAGAGATAAAGTCAGGTCTGAGACTCCCTGTTCAGCTAAAGACAAGAAGACGCACAAGAGCCAGATCTGGTGCTTTGGGCTGCAGAAATACTTGAGGACTCTGAAGGAAACTACTGAGAGCACGATGTGGTAGAAAGGGCTGTCAAGTGACAGCTGGCTGTCCGAATCTCCACATGTTCAATTGAATACACGTTTGTAGCAAAGTAATATTTATTGAAGCAATGAAAAAACTGGAACACAGGGACTGTTTGGAATGACTAAGAAAGCCAGGGCACGGGATAATAAACAGATTCATACAAGCAATAACCAATAACATTGGTTCCCGCTTTCACGGGTACGTTGAAACTCGTGCCTAAAGCCTGAGAATCAACTGCTCCTGAAACTTAAACAATTAATTGCTTCTCATGCTCTAATCAAGCGGCTCCGGCTCCGCACCTGTGACCTTGCAGATAACTACGTTTCAAGCAACACTAGCGTTCATAGAAAGGAATGCATATAAGAAGCTGCTGTCTTCATATCACTATTAAGCATGCACAATTGTGTCTAAACGAACCAGGGAATAAAC